CTCTAAGAAAATGAGAATGTTGTCGAAGATTTTTCAAGTGTGCTAAGAGATATGCAATGTTATCAAACTTATGTAAAGCATGTCATCTTAGCACATTTTTCACCCATTCGTCTTCAATTGACTTCACTTTGTCAATGACTAGACTCACATTCCTGTCGGTTGTAAACTAAGTACCGGTGCATGTTGTTGAATACGTAAATATTCTTAATTTTCCAATAATTTTTGTGTGTCTTTCATCACAACCCATATCATTTTAATATGCACTCAGAATATCACTTCTCAAGGTGACATGATTTTTGAAGCTAAAGAATTAAAATGATTTATTCATCACTTTATGCCTTTTTGAGATTCTTGGAATAAGTATCCATACGCAAACCATATTATAGCAAGATCTTGTAGTTTCCATCCATGTGAAATTATACCGAAATAGTTTATGTAAATCCACATACTTAAAAAAGAACTATCCTATAACGAGTGTTGTTTAAAAAGTGTAACTTTTATGAAGTTGAAAAAAAACCACTGTTAGATTACATTTAGAAAAATGTGACGAAGTTAATGAAAACTTGTGAACTTTTTAGTTTGAAATTATGTTAAATTATATCTTATATTTTCACTAGCTAGCTTTCATATATGGGTTGTTAAAGTCATGATTATGCTATTTTGATGTATATTTTATGATCATGCTAACGAGAATAGAATAATGAACGTAATTGACGTTGGAAAAAAAGACTGACAAATTAGATGAAAGTACAAAGTAGAATAATAATAATGATATTTTTTAAACATTTTTTGATCAAAGCTATCAGTGTTGAAAACATTAATGTTTATTGAGGTTGATATAATGCTAAAAAATCACAAGAATTCTTCTATAAATATAGAGAAAATTATTTTCATCTATTTCAACTACTAAGAAATAATTCAAAAACATATATTATATAATTTTAAATAATATATATATATATGAATTAATTAATTAATTTCTTTGAAGTAATGATTGATATACATTTTTGACGATTAACATTTGCATCATAGATATAGTTATATCATGTAACTTGTAGCTTTGAGACCAGTTTTATGATTAAAAATTTAAAGCAAGATCAAAAGGCGATCTTGACAATTTAAAGTATACATTTTCACATGTAAGACATGTTGGCTTAGTGTTAAAAATATAAAGGTAAATTTTTTTTTGCAAATATACATTTCACAATAAGAGTTGAGATAAACAAATTCATGATGATCAATAAAATGCCTCATGAATTTAAGCCTTTAAAAGATATTATAATTTGATCAATCTATTATATATAGTAATATAATAATAATTAAAATTTTTAAACATAAAATTAGTCTAAATATAGCTACTAAAAGCACAGTTTGGATTATATGTGATAATTATACTTCATGATATTGTAAATGAATTAAACAAAAAGTCTATGATATATAACTAAATACATATTGTTTCAAATTGTTCAAACAATTTGTACCAAATACATATTATTTGTCAATATCGTATAGTATTAATATAACTTTGATGATCTTAAGAAAAAATACAAGGAATGTTTAATTAAAAAAAGGATTAAATTATGCTAATTTTACATTTTGATTTCTGACACTTATCAGATAATCTTCAAAATTTAAAAAATATATTGTATGTTATCATTGCTCTTATGAAATGCTGAAAAGATGAAGAATTAAATATTTTTACTGGATTCAAATTGAATGAACAAAATGATCATAAAATTTTAAGTATCAAAATATATATATTATCAAACATAAATTGTTATCAATTTACAAATGCATTGAAACAGTCAAAACATTTGTGATCATGTAAAGAGATTATTTGATTGAAATAAAATTGATCTGTGATTGATGTATGATCTTTGAACACTCACACTTCAGTATGTCACATTGACAAATTACGACATTTTTTTTTTTGAAATGTGTTTATTGCAATCACTTTTAGATTCGACTGATTTAGTATTTTGATATAATATTATTCCAAAAAATTGTTAAGTAAAAAAAGTAAAAGAAGTAAATGAAATCTATCACTTCATTTACATCTTTTACTTTTTTTACTTAGCAATTATTGCTCAGTAAAATGTTTTTTGAATGATGTGAGATTTTTGTGACTATTTTGAAAAATCATATTTGAAAATGAATTCATATAGAGTCAATATTAGATTATAATTTTGTTCATTATTTTTTAATAATATATTGAGTTTTATGCAAACTTTGAAAGCTAATAATCACATTTATATATATTAAAATATAATAATAAATATAATATTGTAAAAAATATTGAAGTGTACAATTTTCTTAGTATGAATGTTGATTATTAAAAACAAATGGTGAAAAATACAGGATTAATCTAGTTATGTTGATATAATCTATGGAGTGATATTAGCATATAAAATAATTTTGAGAAATATTTTGATTACGAATTTTGGGATTTAATTTTTTTTTTATGATTGATAGAGAAATATTTCAAAATGCTGACATTGAAACTTTGATGAATTCAAATATTGAAGCAATGAGATAGATTTAATTCCATATAATCATTAAATTATTGATAAAATTCAAAATTGAATGTGTGCATACATTTTTACTTCCTTTGGGATTTTTTTCAATTTTATTCAAAAGCATATAACTAATTGTTTTATAAAATTATAATAAAGGTTGATTTAATGATATTGATATATAATTTTTAAATTAATTTTTATTAATATATTCAACAATCTAGAAATGCATTGATTGACAACAAGGTGTATATGATGTGTACATAAATATAGATTTTATGGAATATTTTATCATTATGGGTTGTTATAATGCTTCAAAATTTTCAAAAAAAACCTTTCATCATAAAATGAAAATAATAATAATGAAAAGATAGAATTTCATATTATTACAATATGAAAAGTTTTCATGAATATCAATAAATGATGATTTTTTCAAATTGTATGAAAATAGAGTTGGAAAATATTGCTGGAAGCAGATTGATGCTGCAATGATTAAACATAGAGTCCTAAGACAAGTGAAAGAATTTTTTTAAAAATTTGCAATTTTTTATGATGATTTTTTAGTTCTACAATACATTTGAAGATAAATGGATGTCGAAGAAAACGAGAAATACAAATTTGGATAGATCTGAGAATAAAAATTAAGCCCAAGTTGTTATAACATTGTATTACATCAATTGTATGTGATGCTATTGGAATCTATACCCATATATTATTGAGGTATTTACGTTATGGGACCCCATCTGAACCTAAAGTGCTTACTAAGACACTTCAAGTTTGTTTTAACCGATGGGACTCTCCGAAGGTACAAGTTACACATGTTCTAGTATGAACAGACGTTGCAGGTAGTGGAACTATGACAGCGAGACTGACTCATCTTCCTCATTGAATCGTTCAAATCTCCACTCACTGCAATCAGACCTGGACACTTCTTAGTCCATTGCACCAAAATTTGTAAAATTATTTGACACGGGATTTCACCAGTCCTCCACTTCCATCCATGTGAATTTCCTACACAAATTCCACTCGTCCACTGTTGCTTATCGATTCCACACGTCCGATATTGCTCACCGAGTCTAATTTACTAGAACTCAAAACCAAAAACCTGGGTGCAACTATGTGACAGAACTTGTCACAGAGATGAACGATGAGCTATTACAAGTCCTGTCACAGTTCATCGTTCTGGATTTGCTACACCAAATCACTAAAGCTCGTATATGATGTGAGCTTTAGTGTACGGAAGCACCTTTCATAAGTTGGCGAGGGTGCGCGGTTGGTGGATCCCATAGTATAAAAACTAAATTTGGTGAGTCATATCAATCATTTTAGTATCTAATGGGGTCCCATCAAGTAGATATCTCCGTATTAATCGATTGTTTTATCCTTTTACAGCCCCATGGGTCTCTACATCACTCTTCCTATATATCTATGAGTTCGGGGAATCACATCAAACACTACAGCGATGAAATCCGTTCAGAAACACTGCAATGGTTCCGAACGGATTTCATCGCTGAATGGTACGGAATGAAACACTTCCGACACCCTGATCTTCTTCTATATTTAGAAATCGCTACAATCCTCCATTTCATCGACCATTTCATCTACGTGGAGCATGCAGGTTTTACTACGCTGGATAACTCCAGCAACACGTCACATACTGGATGAAAATCTGGTTCTGTGGTTCGCTCATAGATTTGATAGGGAGGCAAGTAATCTAGCAAAAAGGATGGGAAGACCCATCAAGCCAAAGATAAAACCAAACGAGGAATACGGCTTTTCCACACAATGTTTATTGGGGTCCAATTCACATAATTCACTATAGCGTTTTAACCAAACTACGAAGTGCTTAATAAAAGTATACACCGCTATTGTATTCAAGAGGAGCTAGATTATAACTCATGTCTCCTTACAAATTCTACGAAATTGAAGCAGATAGAGGTGTACCAAATTTACTACGACAAGTCATCCTTTGCTCCGGGAGGTGGCATCCTGGAATAGCATTTGGGCCCAATGCGGCCGCGGCAGACTCCAATTACAGTACTTCGTGAACCAACACCGAGCGAATAAATCTCGGATAACGTAGAGCGAGACAAGGTCGGGAGGTCAAATTAGGAGCTCGGTCATAAGTGCCGAGGAGGTGTTAGGACTTTGATGGACCAGGTGGAAGGGGAGCAGAAACACCTCGCTTCTATTCGAAGGCCGACGGCGTGAGAGATCCCACGCAATCGGCAGCGACGGGGGAGAGTGGGGGCGCAATAAAGATAAGGACTCAGAATGCACGGACCGAGAAAGACAGAAAAAAGCTGCTTCTTCACTGCCGCGCCGTACGGAGTCCCCCAAACGGAAGCGAAAAGGCGAAAGGAGAATGCGGCCGAAAAGAAGGCGAAAATGCGGGGCAGCGAAAGTGGAAGGAAGGAAGGAAAGAAGGAAGGCGGACGGGGGGAGTTCAAGAGAAGGAGGAAGGAGCGAGCAGATGGAGAAGATGTTCTGCTGCTCGAGAAAAGAAAGGAAAGGAAGTGTTCGTCGTGCTCTTCTAATGTTCGCTGTGTCCCTGGGCGACTGGCTGGCTCTTGTTGCGGTGGGGCTGTGAAGACGCGACCGGAGGGCGACCGGCCATGCAGAAAGCTTAGAGCTTAGAGCTTAGAGCGAGGAAGGTGACATCGTGCCGAGAGGCGATCTGATCCCGATTGCTGACCCGCTCGTGCAATTGAGAATGCCCGTCGATGAAATTCGCCGGCATTTGTACGTGCGCGTAATTGCGCGAGACTCGACTCGACTCGACTCTGCTGGAACCACAGGCCGGAGGTGAGGTGGGGGAGGGGAGGGGAGGGGAGTGGACAGGGGAGGAGGGGAATTGCTGATGGGCTTGAGATTGGAGAGTGACGGGAGAGGCGACGAGTGACCGTAGAGCGAAATTGGAGGTGCGAGGATATGGGCAGGAAATTTAAGGGGGAGGAGTTGATGAGAGGGTGAAGAAATTCGAGCGATCAGCTTTAATGGGGTGGCTGCGCTCGTTGCTCCGCTCCTTCTCTACCAGTGACATATCTGGGGGTCGGAGTACTCGCCTGTGTCTTTGTCCTTGTGATGTTATGGCTCCTTGCACCAGATCGAGATCGAGGGCTAGCATCGATAGGGCGGAGTTGGATTCGGACGCGCGAGAAATCGAGAAGAAAGGCCTCGGTGGTCTTCCTCCGAATCCCCCGAAGCCAGTCACGAGAGCGAGTAAGCGGTTGCGCAAGGATGAGCTTGCTGTTGATGATAGCAAGAAACAGGGTGCTCGAGGTGAGGATGTCCAACGTCTGCGCATGAGGTTCTTCTGGAGTTGTTTGAAAATTCGGTTGTTTTAATTCAACTAATTAGCAACGGTTTGCGAGGTTTGTTGCCATGAGGCTGTTGCAGAGCCTATCGGCCAAATTGGGTAGATGTGGGCCGCTTTCTCTGATCAGAAGTTTGGGCATTATGGTAGCTGATCCAACTGGCGCGAGAAAATCTCCGCATAATTTTCAAACTAGCTCTCGATCAGTGGTCTCATGTCAATTGCCATCGAGCTGTCCTGCTGAATTAGAATAGGAATTCTAATTCATTTTAATAGGAATCGAGTGCGATCTGCATTTTACAGTTTGCAGGTAGAGGAGCGACGCGAGTTGCACAGGAGTAAACGATTTGCTTGTTAATCTCCTTGTTACATCATTCTTTTTGCGAACTTTGTGATGAGATTCTTGTGCTAGGATGGCCTAGAGGACTCTGACCGTGAATGTCGGGCTTGTAGGAAGCTCCCCTGGTGGAGATTGTTGGATATGCAAGGACTTACATGCAAAGGATCCTTTCACCACCGGATGTGGACACACCTACTGTCGCACTTGTATCGTGGAGTATGTAAGGAAGGTTGTGAAGTCCCAAATGGCTGTTTTAAACCCGACGTATCCTGACCTTATGGCACAACTTATGTGTCCCAATTCCAGGTGCTTTACATGTTTAATCTACTTTCTCTCTAGTCGTGATGGGTTGCAATTTCTGAACCGCAATGACTTTGTAATGAAAATTTCTTGGTTCAATTCATGTTATGAACCAGTTATACTATCAGTTATATCGTGCGTCTATGCGAAATTGAGATTTGCTATACTGTAGCAGGGAAATTTCTCATGGGTTTAATTTTTCTGTATTGGTTTAAGATTCATCTTATTTCCAGCTAGCCCAGCATATGTAGGCATCAATTTTATTTTGGAGCTCATTAACTTGTAGTGAAGTCGCACTGATCAGGTTCTGGTCACATATAATGGAATCCCAAACCGCGCTGAAAGGGTTCGATGAAATGTCTGGTTTTGAGCAATAATTCGAGGACCATGCTTACATATGTCATAACCTATCTTGAAAGAAAATCGTCTTATGATCAATTTAATATTCTCTTAATAGGTACAAGAGCTAAGGACATTTCAGAAGCTCTTTATTTATTTCAAAGCACAATACCTCCAGTTATCTCTCCTTCAATTTTGAATAGTGCATACAATATCACTGGGAAAGTTCAATAGTTTGCCCACTCTACAACCAAGCTACTGGAGAAAGTCAGTTGATGTGTTCAGTAATCGAAAAGAAAACTTCAGCATGCCCGAATTGACGATTGCGATTAGATTTTTCAATCTGTCTCTGACAGAATTGTCATCTAGTCATTGTGTATTTGGTGGGTTAGGCGTGTTCCAAAGTGAGAACATGGTGCGAAGTATTTGTAATCGCTACAATCGAAAGTGCGACCTTTTTCTAGTCGATAGCCTGCGATTGCGTCCTGTTGGGATTCGTACCTCAAGATAAACTTCTTTTGAGCCTAAGTTACGATTAACTTCCGCAACTAATTATTCAATCTCGGCTCGTTTTGGAGGGCTTTCTAACCGGGTTCTTTTCAGTTGTTTGATATATATGTTCTGTACGCGAAAGAGTTTTTGGATAAGCCTACCTTTCGGAATCAACATTGTTGTGACCTCGCATTGTTGTAACGCTTCGTACAGCTGCAAGGAGGAGCTGAGCCAACGCGAGCTAACGGTTCTTCTGGGAGCAAAAGCATCCAGAGTTTATGGGAAATGGCTAGCTACTATATTAGACAAGTTTTACCGTCCATCCCTGATAAAGGATGCACGACTGGAGTGCACTAACATCAAGTGCACAAAAGGTGCACCAACCGTGGTTCTATCCAGCAAAGTTTCAGACATTGGCACTACTAAAGGTAATTTATTTTCTAGGTGCTGATTTTGTTGATCTGTTTCTTTCATATGACATCTCAACTACGGTGTATAGAGGTGTATTCCTTGTACACCTTAGGCTCAAAAACTCCCGAAGAGAAATCTGTTGATAGATCAGGATATCCTTACTCAATTTCCATACGAGAGCTTGCAGGTTGATGCAGACAGTATGGAGCCCAAAGGGATCCACACTGAATTGTACATAAACCACCTGATTCAGTCCCATGATTTTTGATCGTTTGAGTCATGAAAACTAGTGTCCTGTTGGGAAACAAGCGATATCCCTCAGTAAATCCAAGTCTAAGTTGAAGTCCACCAGCTGTTAGTCCTCGAGAGGAAGTTGCGTAGGAATCGTTGGTAGTTTTTATCTTGTTCATTGTACTCAGGTTTTGTGCTTGTCCTGTATGGGCAGTTCGCCACGCCCTTCAGGTTCGGGGCATTCAGCGGAAGTGTATGAAGCAACAGTGTGTGCGGCTGCTGTTGAACACGGTGGGACTGGATGAGAAAGAGGCAAACAGAGCTGTATGGATATGTACAACGTGCGAAGCGGCGTGGTGTGTTGCGTGTGGGGTTCAAATTCCTCCCACCAGCAAAAATGACAAAAGTAAGGGTCATTCCCACTGTGAAGGAGTACAGAGATACGAGGTTTACAAGTCCCTCGTGGAACTGAATGAGGCTTGTTCGATTTATACGCTGGGACTGCAGACACACAACTTTAGGAAATCAAAATCAGGAGGTTCGGGCAAAACCATTTGGGCTGATGGAACTGGTTTTGGTGGAGATTATATAGAAAGTAAGCATCATTCCGAGGCGATGCAGGCTGCCGCTAGGAAAGCGGAGTTAGAACTGGACAATCGGGTTGAGAAACAACTGAGCCTACTTACCAGAGTTTTAAAGGTTGAAGGAGAAGGAGAAGACGGAACGAGTTCGCGTTTGTCAGTCGCAACTTGTGCCCTTTTCAAGTGGGATAATATACTGAGTCAATTGTTGCGCCAACTTGCTACAAACGACTCAATGTTGGACATTTCTGAACGAAGCAGTCTGTATCTGAAGATGGTTGAGTTACTTAAGGCAATTAGAATGCACGATGAGTTGCTTCCAGTACTTTTAGGATGTTCCACATCAGCTGAGGTGAGTGACAAGGAATGTGATGTTGCGAAGTCGATGGGATTGAAAGTTGTTAGCAATGTCGCTCAACAAGAGGGAGGAGAAGATATATCTGATGACAGAGATAATACCGTGATGAGGAAGTTGGCCAATATCTACAAACAAGCGAAGGTGATGCTACAGCGCATGCAGAGTGGTTCCTTAGAAGGAACTGCTGCAGCAGATGTTGACATGAGTCTTGCACGGGAGCTCTGCCACTGTTATGAGGTTTTGTTAGAGAGTGCAATGAAAGAGGACTCGGCTATTGACGATAGACGGCAGAGTGTAGAGGTTGGAGTTTCTACGCGATCAAGGGAGAGGAAGTTGGAATCAGAGGAAGAGGAAGCGAAGACCAAGATGGCTGTTTCTCTTTATAAAGAGAAACTCAGAAGTTTACAGTTCAAGCAGCTACCCATGGCCGATGCAAATGGAGAGTATAGGCATCATTTTAAGGACCATATAACTGGAAAGGTGGCAAATTCTACGTGCATCGATAAAAGGGGCTCCCATAATCACAAGAGAATGTTACATCTTTCGAAGGAAATCGCATCCTTGGCCACTACTTTGCCTCTGGAATGGGAGTCCAGTATTCATTTGTGTGTAGATGAGTCAAGAGTGGATGTACTGCGGGCAATGATTGTTGGTCCTCAGGGAACCCCGTATCAGAATGGCCTGTTTATGTTTGATATCTTCCTTCCTCCAGGTAAGGAGGCTTCTTCTGAGCATTTCCACGACGTTTATTTGAATCTTAATTCGATTGCTTTTGTAGTTTCAAGTTTTGAGATCTAAGACTTCATGATTGAATCTTCTTTCGGGATTTGCAGATTATCCCCAAGTGCCTCCACATGTGCACTTCCTCACGACAGGAGGTGGCAAAGTTCGCTTTAATCCAAACCTATACGATTCAGGAAAGATTTGCCTGAGTCTGCTTGGCACTTGGAGTGGACCTGGTTGGGTACCTGGCAAGTCTACCCTATTGCAGGTCCTTGTGTCAATTCAGAGTCTCATATTTGTGAAGGATCCCTACTATAATGAGCCCGGATTTGAACAAACGAAGAGTCCGGAAGCGGAGAAAGAGAATTCTCGCCATCGTGAGCATACGTTGAGTCTAGCAGTTTTGGGTGCTTTACGGAAACCTGACCCACTCTTCGCGGACGTTGTTCGTGAGCATTTTCTTCTGAAAAGAGAAGAAATGGAACAACAATGCGACGAGTGGATAGCAATCACAGCTGAAGGGTATGCCAAGCATCGCATCACTAACATTGCTAAGGAAGTGAAGGCAGAGCTAGAAGTACTTTGCTCCTCCAAGGACTCGCTTTTGTCAATATATTTGTCATAGCCCGCCCTCACAACTGACTGTAAATAACCTTATGTACAGGCTGTAAAATACGGTTACCTTAGATTAATCACTGTCACTGTCGAAGATCGAGAAGTTTGTCCGAAGCTAGCTTTCGGACCCCTTGTCTGTGAGGTCTTCATTCGAGCGCCCAAATGATCTGATAGAACGAAACCACTGAGGGCCTTGCTTACTTAGGCCAGGTTTGCATTACCGGGTACATATTATCCTCCTCTGGGGCAAATCTGAATATGAAACCCGTTCAGAATTCCGTTGTACACTCTCGTGACTGCCTGGGCACATCCAAAGTTCCTAGTCACTACAATTCGCCCACGCCACGCGGAAGATGCCGTACGTCAGCCTGAACGTGGTACAGGTTCTTCAACTTCTGATACCATGCAAATCTGTTGAGTGTATAGCCGAGATTGACCCTACGCCTGTCCGAATAAAGAAGAACTTCACTTTCACGTCCAGATAATGATTCCCGATTGGGCTTTCTTCTGCTTTCACTTTGAAAGCGGCCCTTGAAATCACTCGTCTGTATCTGCAGTAGCTGTGGTCACCGAAGATCAAGGTTCGGAGACTAAGAATGCAGGGGATCTCACATTCTACCGATAGGAGGTTGAGTTATAGGTTTCAGGTTCTAGAAGTAAACCATGAAATCAAACGACTTCATGATTTGTGATCCCAGTGGGCCAAAATCAATTATTTACTAAATTTCACCCGGACCTTCGTGTCAAGCGTGGATGGATGACGAGCTAGTAGAGAGGAATAACATCTACTTTCGATATATATAAATATTTATACTTAGTAAGATTGTCTATTTCTGCTGATTAAATGGAAATCAAAGTCTCTACCCGCATCATCAAAGTCGAATAAGTTATAAAAGCATTTATTCTTGTATCTAATATTTTTGTGCTGAGATCGGAACTAGGACAATTATTATTATCGTTTTCGGGAGCAAAGTGTCTATCATTTTTTTCCAATAATTAAAGTATACATTGTTCATTTAATTGATATTCATGATAATTAAATTTATAATGTTACGAAGTAATTGATAAGTATTAGCTCTTTAGTTAATATAGAATCTTTTGATAAAATCGAACAGAAAACCAAACACTAGATGAAATTTACAATGACAGAGATACCCAAAAAATAATAATTGGATACACATGTGTAACTTCAGATAATCATCATATGCTATATATTAAAATAATGTAAATAATCAGAATCATGATATTATTTATTATATCTGTTTTTGTTAAACATTAATTAACTTTTATTTATGCAAACAACTTCAATGTTATATTATTGCTATCAAGTTTTTGTTGTCGACAATCATCATATTCTATATCTTAACAAACTTTTTATGCATGTTGATAATCAAAGTTAATTTGTAATCAAAGAATATATTTTTGTGTTAAAAAAATTGTGTGATGAGTTGATATTTGAATCTACATTGTTATCACAAGTTTAGAGTATGTTAAAATATTCGTGTGATAAATGATGTGAAATTTAAAATTTCAAAATAATAATTTTATTCATATATGATATTTTCATTAAGTATCAAAGATTTTTTAGTTATTTCATCATTTAAAAACCAAAAAAAACTTCCTTCAAAAAAATTTACACAATGGAATTGAATAATTTTTTTAAACATAAAGAAAAAAATAGAAAAGATTAAAAAAATTCAAAATGACGCAAATGTGAAATCAGTAATTTGATTGAATACAATAATGTAAATTTACACTACCAATGTGTGTGTATGTATGTATGTATGTATGTATGTATGTATATATATATATATATATATATATATATACCTACCTACCGCTTGCGCAAGAGGGGTCTAGATGGCCCTTAGTTTCACTGATAGTTCAGTTCTCCGCCCATGTGAGGAGTTCTTGATTTCTCTCACTCGCTATGCAAGTGTGATGTGTGTTCGTCATTCACCAAACCCCCGCCTGACAATGAATTTCGTCGGTCAAATTTGACTTTGTTTTGTTTGCTTCACCTTCGAGCAATCTGCCATGAACATCAACAACATGATAACTCATTATTATCATGTTGAAATATGTATATATATATATATATATATACATACTTACTTACTTACTTCAACTTCCATTTGTTTTAATAAATTAAATTTATAGAAATAAAATAAATAATCTTTATCAAATTATGTTTTTATATTATTATTTAATATTTTTTTCATTTATGAAATTTTTGTAATATTATCATTGATTTATTTTGCTGCTATTTCTAAATTTAATTTAGATATAGACTCAATGAATTTTTTGAAATTGATTTATCAAAAATGAGTTAATTTATTAGCTTGAATTACTATAGATAGCTAACAAAATTTTTATTATAGTATAGATTACAATTTTAATGAAATTTATCTGTGTTAAAAAGTAAATTCACTGAAATAATCAAATCTTTTTTGTTAATTTCTGTAAGAAATATTTCTCATCATGAATTTTGATCAATATTAACTAGAATTGTGTGTTTTAGATAAGATGAATTTAAATTATTATAAAATTATTGCAATTTTCATCTTATTCATGATGGATCATATTACAAAGATTACGTATTGCAATAATAATAGCAAGTATTCAAAAAAATTCAGAAATTCTTTATGATTTGATAATTGTAAAGATATGATTAGATAAACTTATATACATTTGACAAATTTTATAGAAGAATAAGATTTTAACTATACATTTGTGCAAACATTTTGTAAAAATAATATTTATTTTATAAATATAATAAAATATAATAATATAATAATTATCAAAAATTAATCAATATGAGAAATATATATATATAAATTTTAAATAAAAATATTTTTTAATTTTTCTATTTTATATAGAAAAAATAATTATCATTAATGTATGACTCATAAATTTTGGTAGTTCTAAAATGGAAATATAATAAAATTCACGTCATTCATAAATTAAGGACGTATAGAAGAAGAAAATACAACCCCAAACAAGCAACAAAGCAAGCAGCAGCTCATGCACAAAGTGTCTATTTTTCACTATGTCTGCGGTTGTTGTAATCATTACCTTATTGCATACTTTTCTCTATACATGAACTAAAATAAAAGAAAGTGAAGGTGAAAGCAAGGGAGTAGAGTTCTGTCCGGGCTTGAGCTACTGGTCTGGATTGAGCTTCGAATGACAGACGAGTCAACGATAAGCAAAAAAGCAACACAAGAGGATCCCGTCGGCGTTTTTCATTTATGTATGCCGCCTATAAATGAAACTGTTTTCAGTTAATTATCGCGTGCTCTAACATTAGAGCTTATAGTCAAGCTCAAACAATAGACTTCAACAATTTTTGATATGAGTTGACATGTCGTTGCCTACATGCACCTGCAATTCGGTGATTGCTGATACGAAGATTAAAAAATCAACTTAAATAAATCAATTTCATTTCAATCCAAACATGATTTGAAATTTGTGTTACAATTCACTTAAGTTGATACGAGTTAGAACGTTGAATTAGTATTATGTATTTTTGTGTTCACCATGACAAAAAGCGACAAAAATTACTATTGAAGAACAACGTATAAAAATGTCATGGTGTGGTTACATTCCGCATTGAATCATATTGAAACCATCATTAATTACAACATTAAAATGCATGGAACAAATATCAATCTTTGTTTAAGAATAAAATACTTCTTTAATGTACCAAGAATGTTTAATCTTGTTTCAAAAAAATTGTTACACCGTTTAAATTCACAATCAAGTTTTTTATAGTGAAGTATAATTTATGCTAAATGATCTTCAATCTATAAGATGAAGTGTAACGCGATGGAGAACCTATCATTATAACTATCGATATGAATTTTTCAAAATTTTAAACTATGATTCATATTATTTTAGAATTATGATTATTTTGTAATTCAATTTTTGCATGTATCATGCATCATAAAACCTTTCATTCTGCCAAAAAGCAAGCTTGGACAGGCATTGGCCGAGCTCGTTATGACTCCATACATCAGTCCAGCTCATGGCCACCGAACGTACATCGTAGCCTTTGGACTCTTGTCTAAGGTCGCAGCTCGATCCGAGGTCAGTGGCTGTCGGACCTTGGTCCGGCCCAGTCCAGCCCAGGGCCACCTTTGCATAGAAGCAAGATGGAAGAACTGGCATGTCACCCTCTCTCCAGATCCAAAAAGCAAGTGGGATCGGACATCGTCAATTCTTTAAAAAAATAAAACTGCACATTATATATAAGAAATTAAAATTAATTTTTTTTATTTATAATTTTTATAATTTTTTTTAGAATTAAAAAATGTAAGCTTTATAATATTTAAAATAATAATTAGAACATAGTTCATCAAAAGTTTTGAATTTACAATAAAAAAATAAAAATTGTTGATTCATTGATCAATAGTTTGAATTTCTAAGTAAAACATAATGTTTAGATTTATGACTAGATTTTTATAAACTTTTGAACATTATTTGATTTTACTTGAGTAGGGGTAGGCGGAGCAGGCTGGCGCCTACCCCGAAAAAGAGGACATGGCTTGGTCAAGTCCCTAACTACAACTTTCAGGGCGGGCTCCGCCCTATAAGGACTAGGTTTGTATCAGGCGGAGCAGGTCAATGCTTAAGTTGCACAAATTGCTAAGATGTCTAAATGCTTTCTTTGATAGCTGGAAGTTCTTCAAAAGCATGAAATGCCGGAGGGCTTTAAAATTTGTTAGATTATTTTATCATAATTCAGTTAAAATTACAAATAAAAATCATTTGAAATTTTTTTTGCATGAATTTTATATCATCGATTTATAACTTTATATATATTTGAAAATTATGACGAAATTTATTCTAAATTCTAAATTTTCATAATAATTAAAAAATTAATATTTAGATATTTTATATGAATAAATTTTTTATAAAATAATTTTTTAATGAGTTAAATTTTTTCTAATCATAACAAACACACTTAAAAATATATATATTTGAGATTTATTTGATTACATAAATTACAAGTTTTTTTTTTATTATAAGTAAAAAACACATACAAAATTTAACAAAATTTGTAGAAATTTATACACTTGATATAAAAAATTGATTGAATATTTTTATTTTGAATTTTTATGATGAAGTGTATCATTCACTTCATGTTTGTTTGATAATCTACATACAAACTTTATAATTACTTTTTGATCACAAAGAAAACCATCAAAAAATTTTAATAAGGAGATTTCAACATCTACAATGCATTGAATAAACTTGATAAGTTAACAAACTCAATGCTTCAATCCCTATTGATAACTTTGTGACCAATCATCAAGATTTTCATTTCTTTCAGTACAAATGTGTACATAAAAAATAATTTTAATGTCTTGAAAATGTTAAGAATTTGATTAACATTTACCTATAAAGTATTTATCAGATAAAAACTTATAAATGATAGAATTTTATTTCAAATAATTTTTTGAAATAATTTTATAACAATTCTGGGCATTTTAACTTTAACAAATATTAAGTTTTATTTTGAAGATTTAAATTTTTTTAAATATAATATGAAATGTAAAAAAATTTGAATTCTTGTTCATAAAAAATATTATAATGTAATACTTTTGGAGCTATCAAAATTTAGAACATATGTTTCAAAAATCTTAAAAAAAATTGAAATTCATTAAAAAAATATTTAATGATACATATAAGTCTTTTACTATGATTAGAGATTTGAAATTATGTGTTAATCAACAGGATTTTCTAACTTATATATTGTACTCAATCAAATCAGAAATATATTTTTTTAAACCGAGCAATAATTTTTTTGAAAATCAAAATGAGAATTTTAATTTAATTTTTCTTAATGTAAAAATTAGTATACCAATTATCATTTTTTTCTAAAATTTAAAAATTTTTAAACAGTCAAATTCTATGCTTTTTTTAAAGAAAAAATAAAATTGATGATGAAATATTTAATTTGATTTATTTTTATTTTATATCAGATGCATTAGCTTATCCAAGAATAAAGTGATCAATGAAAAAGCTTTTTCTGATAAGTGTTTTCGTAGAGTGGATTCTCACAAAAATCAAAAATCAAAAATTGATAAATTGTAATAAAAATAAATAAATATTTTTATTTTTGTAAAAAATAATTCAAAGATCTCAAATAAACTTGTAATTCTAGAATTCTTCCTAGAAATGTAAAAAAATATGTCATGTGATTCTTCACAATTGTGAGGTGATAGCATATTTGTTATAAAACGCAATCTATACCCGACCATGATACTTTGTCATCAATTTGACATTTTATGATTGAGAGATAGACTTGTTTAGTTTAAAATAGAAGATAAATTGTATATGCAAATTTTGAGGCATTTCCAGATTTTTTCTACTTGAAAATAATCCGCATCTAACTACTAAATGAACACATTCTTGCTAGTTTGTAGGAGATACACTTATTCAAATTTCTTCATCAATTCGTTAAATTTGATAATAATTCTTGTGATAAAACAGAGCTATAAAAATCAAATCATTGATCTTTTTCTTGGGGTTTTGTTAACCTCTTTCTGTTGTTTTAAAATATGACACTCATATTAAGTCAAACTTTTTCTCCTATTCTAACAACCTTGTCAAATTTTACATTTTATCATAAAGTGAAGCTTTTTAATGCGTGTGCGGCGAGGGAAGGGCTCAAACGTACGAAACGTTCGAGCCCTGAGGTGCTCGTTTTAGGAATTTATGATACAATGGAAGATATTTTTTCATGATGTGTTAACCTTGAATTGTAAAATTTGATTTGCATAATATCGACTCGATACGATTATAAAGAAATCTCATTAATTCATCCCACTTCTAGCCTGAATAAATGTACTTCTTAAATCGTGAGTCTTATCTGTCTCAACATCAAAGCTTACACAATCACTCCTACTTGATAGATTATGCGGAATATATATCTAAATGAATGTTGATGGAGTCTTTCTAGCCTTTTTGCTATCTCACTTGGACCGTTGCGAGATGTTGGGATTGTATCTGAAGTGTTCGATATCCGCGCCATAGATGCTTGAACATGGAGGAGTTGATCATGAGAATTTTTTGCAACCTCTTATTACTTTCCTTCAATTACATCTTAACATGCTGAAAATCGGAATGCATAAACTCGCCTATGGTTCTCACATCTGTTGCCTTTTAGTAATCATTTACCCACTTCCAGGTGAAAATCCTTTATATCGGCAGTGGAGATGAGATTGAAGCCGGAGAATGTAGTGGTTGAGATATGGAGTGATGAAGTAAAAAACTGTGAAACACGAGTGAGAATTGTTCAAGAGTTCATCATATCTCGCCGGCTGGCAATCAAGATGAGAAATAAAAAATATAATATATTTATAAAAAAGTTTAGAATGATCAAAGAGGTGCCCAATTAGACTGAGATATTGAAACCGGTTAAAATAATGTTATTCAATTTTTTTGATATTGTTAAATTTTTACTGGATTCATGTAGTTCTGATTGGATAAAAATAACGTCTGTGTATACCATTATATATCTTTTAAAATCTGAATTGCAGGGAAGAGATATGCAAAGAGAGATATCTCACAGCTGATTCACGTTGCCTTTGGATGCTGCGACCATGAAGACTTGAATATGCTTGTGTACCGCCTCAAGTCCCCATGCACCACCAGACAGTCCTACCATGCGGATCTTCCGTTGACAAATTTACTGGTGCCACAAAGCCCAACGTGTTTGACTGAAGGGTGGCATCAAACCTAAACGTGCTCAGGGAGCCCTATCAAACTTGACAAATTCCGAAGATACGTTTGTCTAGGCACATAAGAACGTCACGGCTCAACTCACCACAGACTCTCTATTTCACATATACAGTCAAGTCTCTGGACCCCATTCAGTCCTATCTCGTCAGCATGAAATGCAGAGAGGGTTATAAGTTAGGCATCCCATGATTGAACACAGCCTTTCAAAAACCCTCTCATCATGAAAAAGCAAGACCTATGTGGTCAAACAGCCGTCCTTATGGTGGCACATACGCAAGTTTGGGGACATGAGAGTCATTTGACTCCCTGGATATTGTGAATTAGCAAAACAGAAGGACATTTTTTTCTAGTTTCAGTCACCTCACACGTGTCTATGATTTCATTAGACTCGTGCGCTCTACTTGGTCCTCGAGTCAATCAAGAGACTCACAAGAACACATTACCTCATCTCGGTTGGTTGTAAGACTCAAAGAGTTCGGTCCTGCTCAAAGTTGTACACAATTCTACATTGACTAGTAATTCAATCTTCAAAAAAGTTTACAACTTTCTCGACAGAAGTCTAATATCAAATCCTTCTGGATATGTAGAATAATTTGGTAAGAAGTTCATTTTGGGTCAAGGTTTTAATCCGTAGACGTTCATATAATTTACTTCTTTCTTACACTATCTATGTTCTGTTCCTCACATATTTTGAAAATGAAATGCTCTATTGTTGTCGAGTCAAAATTCCGACAGGAGCCTTCTGGTCCGACAGGTGCTGAAGAGAATAGTTATGAAACTGAAAACACGACTCGGACTCCTTAATCGAGAGTCTCTGAAAGGAGAAAGGAAGAGAAGAAAGGGAAATATTCAATTCAGATAATTTACCACTGGTTGAAGCCCTGCAAGATCTTATTTGGTTCATATAGCTAGCAGGAACACATAGAAGGGCCAAACGTGGAACATGTGTGATTCATGAGAGTGAAATCACTGCTGTATTTAAGGTATTATAGATCCTTTCATTTGGCCCCTCCGGCGCGCAATATGGCTCGAGAAACCTCATCCTTCCCCCTGCATGCTGAAACGAGGAATCTTGAACGGGTAACACAAAAGCATATTTGCACCATCTGACGCAGGAAAAATATTCCCGGACTGCCCGAGACCAAGTGCAGACCGGCACAATGGTTGGTCGAGAAACCCCAGGCCCGAGAGAAAGCAGAGGTACGCATGCACTGCCATCCGAGGGCCCACATGCATTTTTGGGGCCTGGGAAACGTTGAAGATCCCTGGCGTTGCTCGCCAAGCGAACGACGGGGGAAAAGGATCTGCCACGTGGAAAGCGTGCCACACAGTTTTGTATGGGAATTGTCTGACCGTATCTCGAAGGTCGTCCATGAGCTCGTATCCCGCCACGAGAAGACAGAAGCTGAAGTCTGATGCAGATACTGTGCTTTGACTCGCCGGGTCCCGGGGTTTGACTCCCTAGTGGACTGACTCACTCCGCATCTTCGACCTCCGGCCGGAGGGAACATGCGCCTTGCAACTTTTAATCGGTAGTACTTATACTGACGAGCTCAGCCATTAGAGCAAAACCATCCATCTACTCTGGTACTCAGAAGTTTCGGTGTCTAGTACAGTCTGCTCTTAGAATACAACTGCGAATTCCGAAAATTGGGATCTCAGTCTTCGGGGTGTATTGAATTGCATCGAAGGTTTTGTAGCAGAAGCTGAGAGCGTAGAGATGGCCAACAATGCCAATGCCAATGCTGCTACTGGTTACAGACATCAGAGGGCTAATGGACCCGCGACAGTCCTAGCCATTGGCAAGGCTACTCCCCCCACAGCGTACCCGCAAAGTGAATACCCGGACTTCTTCTTCAACGTCACCAACACCAATCACAAGACTGAGCTCAAGGCCAAATTTGCTCGCATCTGTAAGAACCATGATTATCGATGATCTATCGAGTCCATCTTCCGGCGTGTAATTGCTTCGTATTTTTTTCTGGCTATGGAAGTCGTTCGATGTCGTGCATTACAAACTCATTTCGGTCAGTGAATCAAAAATACTCTTCTTTGTCTGATCCGGCTGTTCATGACATGATCTGATTTCAGGCAAGAATTCCGGAATCAACACGAGGTACTTCCATTGCACAGAAGACATCCTGAAGGCCAATCCGTCGATGTGCACGTACCTGGAGCCGTCGCTCGACATCCGACAGGACATTGCGATCAGGGAGGTGCCCAGATTGGCGGAGAAGGCGGCCATCGAGGCCCTGGCGGAATGGGGCCAACCCAGAGACCAGATCACGCACGTCGTGTTCGCAACCACGAGCGGCGTGAACATGCCCGGAGCTGACCTCACTCTAACCAGGCTCTTGGGTTTGAACCCGAACGTGAACCGTACCATGCTCTACCAACAAGGCTGCTTCGGAGGCGCCACGGTTCTGCGCGTGGCCAAGGACCTGGCGGAGAACAACAAGGGCGCCCGAGTTCTCACCGTCGTGAGCGAGCTCACATGTGTCACCTTCCGGGCGCCGAACGAGGAGCATCTGGACAATCTGGTGGGTTCAGCCATCTTCGGCGACGGAGCTTCAGTTCTAGTCATCGGATCTGATCCTATACCTGAAGTGGAGAAACCCCAGTTCGAGATTCACTGGTCAGGGGAGACTATTTTGCCAGAGAGCGATGGTGCTATCGAGGGGCGGCTGACAGAAGCTGGACTCATTTTCCATCTGTTGAAGGACGTTCCCGGCCTCATTTCCAGAAATACCCTTCCCATTTTCAACAAAGCAATTGAAGTGGCAGGATCCCCGAGCTGGAATGATCTGTTCTGGTGCGTGCACCCCGGAGGCCGTGCCATTCTGGACGAGGTTGCCAAAACCCTGAGCTTGAAGCCGGAGAAGCTCGAGGCCACGAGAGACATCCTCTACAACTACGGGAACATGTCCGGCGCCAGCGTGCTCTTCGTCTTGGACCAGATGCGGAGGCGGTCGGCCGACAAGAACTGCACCACCACCGGCGAAGGGTGCGACTGGGGCCTCGTGGTCGGGTTCGGGCCGGGACTGACGGTCGAGGTCTCCGTTCTCAAAGCCATCGCCACCGCTAACTAGAAAACCCCTCCTTCGTTCCCTACGCGAGAAATTTTCCATTCGGCAAATAATTCATCCGTCCGCAGTTACGAAACCGCCTTGACTTTGCACGGATCCAGTACGCGGACTCGTGAGAGCTCCGTGAGAGCTCGAAGAGTCTAGAGGAGTAGCATCATGAAGTCCTCAGCGTTATCGTCGGTGGTCGCACACGAGAGTCTTGCCGTCTTCTGAGAAAGTAGCGGTGCCAAGGCCTAAGCTAGTGTTAGATCACGGCCCAAGATATCGACGGTTCTCTCAAAATCCTAGAATAATTCGTTGTCTCGAAAGGAGGAGCTGATCGAGACGTGAATCTTAGATTAGATTGACTGTACAAACATACAAAGTAAAGCTCCATAATTCTTCATTCACTCTGATCTGAGGCCCGTTTCAGAAGGCCTTTCTCTCTCTTGAGGCATTCTATCTGACAATTTCTCAGAAAGATGTTGGAGTTCTTGGTGTGTCCAGATTCCCGTAAGATATGTTATCAGCTCAGCGGAAACTCTCATGATGACGCAATCAATGATGGAGCTTCGGGTTATAGAAGCAGCAAATGATACGGAGACTTCAGTCGAACGTTTATGCTGTGGGCAGATAGATGTCGTCCGCAGAAGGTGACTTTTTTTCGCACCATGAAAGGCCTGGAAGCGTGAATTTTTGGCAACAAAAGAGAGCGTGCATTATTCGGAGGTGAATCTGCTTGCATTAAATAACGCAACTGTCGCATGATCCCCAGCAGCATGGGCCACCGCCTACATGTGCTTTTCAGGTTTCCCTATGGCAGGCTCTCTCGGATCCTTCTGTATCCTGCAGTCCTTGCCGAGTTGACAAGAGGAGTTCAAGGAGGACGATATCAGATACCTTGTTCTAGTTGCTCCTTTTCATGATGCAATTGAGCATTCTCGATGACGTTCAACGCATCAATTGGTATCACACTCTTTATTGAATTTACCGATGTCAATGCGTAACGCCCTCTATAGAGAGAATGCTGCGATCAGTTCAGAACATTTCATACATTCGTGTCCATATCTGAATTGATCGTTACATGTTTACTGCAGAGAAATCCGGCGTGTTTTACTATCATCCATGCAGAATTCAACGGATAAGATTTAAAGTTCAACAGGGTGATGGAACTGAGAACCGAAGAAACGGCTTTAGTGCCTTAAGAACAAACAAAGGATTTATTGTAAGATATCAGACGAATTTCGTGATTGTCTTAAAAGACCCACAACTGGAGCAAACGAGGTCATTGAACTCATTTCTAGGGTTCTGGGCACAAAGACATCGGCGAATCAATAATAATGTTGAGATTTGAAGAACGGCTGCCTCCCTTTGCTCATGTTGTTTTTCCATTGTTTGATGTCTGGTATGCAGTGTAATCGGAGTTATATGCACGTACTACAAATGAAGAAATCATCAAAGATTTATCCTTGGGGCATCTTTTCAGCTTCCTTCACCATTCTGTAATATGTGTATCCAGTTTCTCAGCTATGTTCCAATCGTTCATTGGTGTGATTCATGTGACTCTTTCTCACTGAAATTACTTCCAGACGATCCAAAAAAGATTAAAAGGTTGATCCAAGACAATGGTCAGGAAGAGTATAAAGTCTCAAAACCGAGAACTTTCCTACTCATCATCTTAATTAGTTAATTATTACAACTGAAGCTCTTAAACTCAAAAGACGAACTCCCAAATGTAATGATAAAAAAGTTAAATAAATTCTACTAGCAACCATCAATCACTTCTTCATAATTGATGATCCCAAAGATTTGAGTAAAAGCAACTGCAATTTGAATTGTAAATTTAAATTTTTGGCTGAAAAAATTCAAATGATTTTAGCTCAATTGCATATAGAAAATAAACGCTTTCATCTCCTTGCACTAGATACTTTTTATAATTATCAGTTCTTGTAAGCCCGAGTTAAGATATTTGAAGTTCTCAACTATTGTAGTACTTAAAAGCTTGAGAAGCACTATTATTTTGACTAAGTTGTAATCTACTTATTTTGTCGCTTGCTTCTATGCTTAAATGACGATCAATGCTGGACTGAGTTTGAGATAAACAAAATCCTATCAAGACAAACCTACACGCAATTGTGTGAGGACATTGCCTTTTGGTTTATCTTGAGAAATGTTGATAACTTGTCTTCTGGTGGAGATTGGATTTTATATTGTGAAACCTTAAAGAGCTTTGTTATGATTCTAGCGGTCAAATCTCATAACATGTGGGATGCATGGTTGGAAAGGAAGTGTAAAACCAATTTTTATTTTGTTTAGCGTTGTTTCATTGTCAAAAAAGCTCGTACGAAAGATATCAAGAAATATATTGTTCGGACACCTGAAGCTTGCTACATTCAGCACGCTTTCCACGGAAAATGAGAATAACACTCAGTTTACAGCAGTAGGTACCTCAAACGAATCTCCGTAGTTGCATAGAATTGACTTCAAAAAAGCATGGAGTGTGAGTCATTTAAAACTCACTTGGAACATTTAACTCAATAGTTCAATGAGGTCACCGAAAGGCCTCAGCTGATGCTAAGACCAGAAGAAAATGCCAACTTCAGAGGAATCCATTCTGCGCACTTGTTAAATCCATGCTCTTGATCTTGAGAGCAATGGTAGCCCCGCGGCCGATCACAGAATCAAGACGTGTGCTGATAACCGGCTTTGATAAGATATTGTTTCTTCTTAAAAGCTACGAATGGCTGCGAAAGGCTCGTCTATCCAGCCACTCGCAGATATACTTCTTCACAGCTTGCGAGGAGAACAAAAGAAAAAATGGTTTTAAATGCTATTCTAGTGTCAATCCCCTACAAAGTCTGCGCGAAATCTGAAGAGCACTTTTGCAGATTCATCGCTCGGCGCAAGCATGATCACTGAAACTGCACGAACAGATCTTGTGTAGACTTTGACGTTCTCGGATGCGCAGGCGTGTGCCCACACTCGAATCAAATTGGCTTGTGCTGGAAGAAACAATATATGCGCATAGAATTGCGGCGCCCATTCGTCCCAAAAGAAAAGGGCCTCTGTAAAGCCGAAGTTTGATATTTCAAGAATTAAAAATCATGGATAAATCGGATGTAGAGCACCTGTACCTGATGCGCATTATGAAGCGCCTCGAGTAGTAGTAGTAATAGTAAGCGGAAAGTTGCGCATCTACCATCATACCGGCCAAGACTGCAAAATTTCACGGCCCTGCAAGCTCGCCAGTCACGAGGGTGCGCGAGAAAGAACTCGTTGGATGGCATTTCTATAATGGTCGACTATCTTGTACTTACGCTGTTGTTAATATTCGTTCACGTCGTATAATTGAGAGTGAAGGAATTCGTATCACTCTGGCTCACATGCATTTTTACAAACAAATTTTTACATGAAATGTTCGGAGATTTGATGACAACCCTGAAGACTCCAACGTCAATCCTCCAGTTTGTCACTAGTATGCTGAGATTCAACGTCACATCAACCAAAGAATCCTAAGGGCCACATCAGAAGTGCAGAAAGGTCTAACTTCAGTTATCGCTTGCGTCCACATATATAGCTACACCCTGCTTAAGAACCACAATCTTCAATCTTGACATGGGCGGTCGATAAGAATCGATAAAATTTCAATATAAAGATGAAGAAAACTTCACACTGTACATGACACAAGTGATTGACAATTTCAGCACTCAAGCTCATCAAACTGAGAGAATTCACAAACACATCTAACACCGTCTACATGATCTGCACTCACATAATGTCCGAGTCGTGCTCTGCGAAATTTAAACAGCTGGGTAGCCTGTAGATATTTCGAAACATCGTGAAGAACTATCAATTTGAAGGTTGAGTAAAGCTTACAGTCCATGGGCTCAGGAAACTCCAACAGCTGAGGTTGATGGCAACTCAATATGCTTAAATGTAGGGTGACACAGGCCGTAATGGAAGATTCTCGAGTCGCTTGAAGTCAGAATACGCTTTTTACAATACATACTTCATCTTGAAATCCGCATGGGTGCATATTGGAGGATTTGCAGATGTATCTACTAATATTTGGTGGAATTATTTCTTGAGAAGCAGTTTCAGGGACCACTTGAGTATTTATATGAACGGTAACTTTCTAATGATTTTGTTTCCACTCCAGCCTTCGTGTTCTCCTATCGAACCTATTGGCCTAAGCGAAATTGGCCTAACATCAGTTCAGGATACGCTCTGCTGGTCGATCCCCTTCTCTAAAATGTTTTTGCAAAAGCGGATGACTCCTCCTCATACTATCCCATTCTGATGGGCAATCTACCACATCTTCGACTTCTTGTCCGCTTTCGAGCATGACGTCGGAGTGCAGTAGTTCTTGAACTTGTGGGATCCAAGCGGGCCAAAAAAAGGAGTCACTTAATCATATCGTTTCTTGAACTCGTGGGATCCAAGCGGGCAAAAAAAGAGGAGTTGCTATATCATGTCCACCTCTGAAAACCGTGTGGAGGTGCGGGGTATCGATCCCCGTGCCTATCGCATGCAAAGCGATCGCTCTACCATGTGAGCTACACCCCCTTTCTTGAAGTTCTTTCAACTACTTTCATTATAATTTTTTAAAAATTGGAATGATTTTCTCAGAGAATGAATACAAGTATAATTATATAAGCTTTGTAAGAATTTACACATCTTCAATACATTTTGAAGTTCCTTGCGAGAAATCTAAAATAATTCAATTCTTCTGAAATGCTTAAAGGTATTTATACCCACTTGAATACAGATACAGGTGTTTACACTCAGCTGAAAAATCGAAAAGTGTCAAGTGCAATTGGTATAAAGTCGTGTCAGTTTTAATGATCAGGTTAGAATCACATTTAACTTAGGTCATTCATTTTCAAAAAATAAATTCTTTTCTACATTCTTTAGACTTATACGTAATTTCATATGAAAATTTTGAATAAAGTAATCTAACATGATTTAATTGAAATTGCTTCACATTCATTTTTTCCAAATTGTGAACCAAGAAATGGTTCAAAAAAAATTGAAATGATAAAAGACTCCGGCTAAATTGAAGATGAAAGATAGAATTCCAAAACATTAACAAATCGTTAAAAAAACTTTTCAAACTAAGAAAATTAAAAATTCTTAGCTTTAAGATTATCTATATAAACTTAGTTTGAACAAATGCTCCAAAAAAACATAGCTTACTTCTATATTTTATCATGAAAACTCTTATAGATCATTTACAGCAATTTGACGAGAAACCATTACCTGTTTTGTCTACAAAACTTAAAAGTGTTCACAACACATGATTGTCATGAAGACTTTCTACTTCATTGTCATGAAGAATTTCTACTTCTTTCTACTTCATTGTCACAACACATGATTGAAACACGAAGACTTTCTACTTCATTTACTTATAGTGTATAGAATTCAAGATGTATAACGCTTTCAACATCCAAATGCATGAAGTGATAACCATGCTACAACACATACAACAAGAGATTGCTAGCCTGAAATATTTCATGGAATAGCTCCAAATTGCTTGCGCTCTGATCCATATTTCAGCTACCGCAGCAAATCCGATTCCACAAGCACCAAAATAACCTTGAAAAAACTTGCAGCAGAAATTTGACGAAGATCGTACTAAACTTCAAGCATTTTTCAATTAAGTTTGACTATTCTTCCGCCTCCAATCGCATAGATCTCAACTAAAAAACACAAATTGTAATCATTCAATCATTTTGCCCACGTTATCTTGATTTTTGTCATTATTGAAAAAAAAATCTCCACTTCTAACAGACCTTGATCAATTTTTGATCAATTCAGCATGACGTTTGGGGAGAAAGATAAAGCCCTTATAGCAACAACAAAACTTTGAATATTGCAACAACAATCCCGCGAAGCTTCAGCATACATTACATAACTTTAACAACTTGCATGTGACCTCGATTAGAATGATACAGCTTTCATCACCATGTTGTGATGAGTACTCGTTGACAATATCAAAATTTTGTTGCTGAATTTTCCCAATTTTTATTAAGATCAATTTGGATATAGATTAAAAAAAGCAAAAGCTGACATATCAAACCATAGTTTGTCATATCATGTGTGAATATCTAGAAATATTCCAACTCGTGTTATTATCAAAGCATACGAGGTTAAAATTTCCTTAATGTTCAATGTCCATGCTTTTATGAAGATGTCAAGAATGGAAATATGTTTGCAATATTTGCAACTCCGACATCATAGTTTCTTAAAAAACCAATTAAATTATCAACAATATATGACGAGTATCAAGAAGTGTTTGAGAAGAAAAACGCTGATAGATTTCTTCATCATCAATTTCATGATTGTGATATCAAAGAAGTTGCGCAACCTTCCTTTGGTGCAATCAATAATCTTTTCAAGGACGAGCCTGTTGCATTGCAAAATTATCTTGATAAAATTTTTGCAAAGAATTTAATTCAATATTCTAATCACATGCTTGAAATCCTTTCATATTTGTCAAGAGAAAATATTATATACTTTGAATATGTGTGGACTAAACAAGATCACTATCAATAACCGGTATACATTACCAATTATTTCAAGACTTTTTTACTAACTCAATCGAGCAAATAGTCACAACAAAAGTAATTGTTTCAGAGCGTACAACCTACTACATATCGAGTAAGGTGACGAATAAAAGACGACGTTTCGAACTAGATGTGAACACATTGAATAAACTATCATGCCCTTTGTTTTTACCATCACACTGTTATCTTTCAACACTTGATAAATAACATATTTTGAAAAGTTTCAAAGGATTTTATTGTCTAATATCTCAACAACATATTGGTTTTTTTGAATAATGAAGAAGATTTCATGAATCAAGTACAACTAGTTTTGAAGAAGTTGTACGGTGGTGTATTATATATCAAGCTCAAAAAATATGATTTTTAACAATCCTAGATCAAATTCTTGGATCACATCATTATTGAAAAGAATCTTTCTATGAACCTAAAAAAAATTCAAACAATCAACGAATGAAAGAAATTGACTATCGTTTGAGACGTATAATGCCACGTGGATTTTGCAAATTTCATTCAAAGCTATTACAATATTGCAACTCCATTGATCCAATTGACTTGCAAAAACAAGGTTAAATGTAATGCAAAAGTAGACCAAGCATTTGAAACTCTTAAGAATACTTTTCCAACAATGCATATTCTCTAACATTGTAGCTTCAAAAAACCGTTTTTTTAAGATTCGGATGCTTTTGACTTTGCTCTTGGAGTGATACTTTCACAACCCGACGAGGACGTATAACTTCATGTTGTCACGTTTCACTAGCAAAAATTTATTGCTATCAAGATGAATTATAAGATTCAAAATTAGAAGTATGTAATCAATGTCAATTCGTTTCAAGAGTTGTGTCAAAAAAGCTAAGCATACGATTATAATCTACATCATTCACAAAAATCTTGAGTATCTCATGTTTGCCAAGATATTGAATCAACGACAAGCTTGTTGATATATATTTCTTTTGCACTTCAATTTTGTCATCACATACCATATTTGTTTTCAATTTGATCTAACACTTTTTTTCGATGAACGTAACTTGCATCTAGAGGAGTACATGCAACTTAAGACCAACAAAGAATTATTCTAATTTAGACATAGCAACTTCAATTGAAGCTCATGCGTACCAAAATTTTGGTGGATGCATCTTTCTCCAAAAATTTTGAATAAATTTGAAATCACATCTTTTGATTTTGAAATTGAAGAACAATGTTGACATCTACAATATTGAAGCATTTTCAAGTCTGAGCTCATAGGTTATAGATTCAAAATTCTAAAATTGACATACAAATAATTCACGGTTTTTTAGATCACATGATGCTACTCCAAAATTCAGATTGAGACGTATTGGTATATTACCATGTATTATTTTAAGTCACTAAAGATCCATGCCGATTACAAGCGTTCCAATCTCAAAATAATTTTTCATCGACAAGACATTTTGATTACAACAAGATTATGTAACTTCACATTTGTGAACATTAAAAATTTAATGACCAAAAATGTGAAAAAAAAAATTAATCATGTTACAACATGTGACAACTACTCTAGATATTAGATACTTTGTCATCGGCCATAGAATACTTCAACCGCTTCAAAATCTAAAAACTCTATGGATTATATGGTGAAACTTTCAAATTTTAAAGCTTTTGATTCAATTTTTGTTGTGATGAATTGCTTGACAAAGACACTTTTTGATTTGCAACAAGATTATTATAGGTAAAAAAACAACACAATTTTTACTAAAAAATGTGTACGTATATCATAAATTTTACAAAGAAATAATCATTGATTGTGGTATGAAATTCACGTCCAATTTCTTGGATACACTTCAAGATTTTATATGTGAAGATTAATCTATCATCATCATATCAAACTCATATGGAACACATATCAAACAAGTAAATCAAGTATTGAAGTAGTATTTAAGGTGCTTCATCAACTACCATCAAAAAAATTGGTCATATCTACTTCCAATTGCACAAGAATTGCAGACAAATGATGAAGCAATATTTGAATATCTCATTTGGAAATAAAATTTGGCTTTTGCATTGCAATTTGAAGATTCGACGACCAAGCGACAAACTTGACTATCATCATTTTGAATATTTTTGCATGAAAAAGCAAGTTATCAAGGCAGCGTAAAGGTTGGACATGCCATCAACTATAAAGAATCATCAAGTTTTTCATATTTTTTTGCTTGAATTGTGTAGAGAATCAACTATTTTGTTAACAACTTCATCTCAATCAAGATAAGCAAAGAAGAAGGATTTCAAGTTTCTAACATCATCAACTTTCTCATCAATCCAAGAAGATTAGAATATCTTATACATTGGCAAGGCTATGAAATAAGCAAGACAACTTAGAAAATTGTTGCTATTCTTGCTAACACTCCAAAAATGATCAAAAATTTCATAGTCAATATCCACATCATATATCTTATCAATACTACAAAATCTTGTGCCAAAGATATTTACATCCAACATTGTTTGACCAACACCATCACTAAATCAGACTGTAACCATGTAATTATTAAATGAACTTCTTGTAATATATTTTTAGTTTTTTAAGATAAATAAATACGTGCGCAAAAACTAATTGCTTGAAGGTGGTGATGTCAATTATATGACATAAGAAGTTTTCCAACTTCAAAAAAGGATGTAAATCTTTTTTAATTTTAAAGGCGGTGCAAACATTCTAATTTTAGAGTTTTCCAAGTAACATCTGGAGTATAGAAAAAAACTGGAGAATTGTACCTCACTCTAATGAAGCTTAGTTATACTGTCCAATTTTAGGATTTTACAATAACCTCTTTGGATTATTTCAAAATATTTTTGAGACATGGTCACTCACTCTCTCGCTTATTTACTATTTAAGATTCCAATACTAATTCCAATGTTGAAGTTGATTATGTACGCAACAAAACCTGAAACAGATTATAATTATCATTTATTTTTTTTCCTACAATGAGGTTGGAAGAAATTTAGATGTTTTCTTTAATTCAATATTCGGATTATTATCAATTCATTGAGTATATTACTCCAGCAAAATATTGGAAGATTTGAATCTCATCATAATCGTGCTATCGAAGTATGACTCACGTTAAGGTCAAAGGAATGAGATGTTTGTAATCTGAAAATCGAAATAAAAGAAAATATATTCGCCTACTAATGCCCGCCATCGATCTTCTGCATCCCTGCGGCTCCAAGAAGTTTCCAATCTGGTTCTTGGATCGCCAACCGTCGATTGGAGCGTAACTTGTTCAGTCAGACGTGCATTGTCTACTACTTAATCCGTGGCGAAAGAATTTGCGACCATTTTCAGTTATCGGTGCTTCGTAAATGTTGCGTGATTCATCGTTGAACATGTTTCAGGTCAGGGCTGCTGCTGGGAGAAAAGGCTCTGTTGAAGAGATAGCGAGAGGAAAAACTGCTCGCTATTTTTTCAACAGAGCCCCTTCTCTTAAGTCGCTGAATGTTTAAGAAAATTCCTTGCCACGATCATTACCTGAGCTACTTGACTTATTGAATTTTGTACATGTCTTGAACTGAATTTTGAACATTCCAGGTGGAGCTTTCCGTCATCACGAAGCGTTTTGCTTTGCTCGAAAAATGACACCCACTGAGCTTCTTCACATCTCTTCGCGTGGCCGCACTCAAGTATCAAGGACGTATGTACCGCATATCCCGTCGAGATCTCTTTAAAGCATAAGATTATTCTGCGGATCCAAGACGAGATAAGAGTTCTCTTTCGGAGTGGTTGAACGTTACCCAATTCCAATCGCCATAGCTTCTACACGACCAGATTGCAACTTGAGTTATAGAGACTTAGTGTGGACAACTCAAATTGCAAATGTGAGTACTCTTGAGTCATAACAGATGTATTGAATGGTCAAAGTAGGTAGTGCTTGTCACATCTTGGTCTCTGCCGTGAAACATTGAGGTTGAAAGGTGGTCGGAAACAATGTACTGCGAGGATATCCGACCATACTTCACCCTCATCGTTTGACACATGGCATGCACTCAAAGCCATGTGTTTTTTTTTTGTTTATTCTTTCGTTCGTATGTGAAGTGTTTGTTTAAATCATATAGCACTGGTTTACCCTTGTCACGTTTTCGAGCGGATTCTGGAGATGGCTATTGGCCGAACCGGCGAGTAGCAGTTCGTTTGGCATAACTTTGGACTCCAAGAAAGTGCCGGGTGCACTCAATCCACTATTAGGCCGAGGGAGAGGGCAACTGACTTTTGACCGCTTTGTTTTTTCTCTCGTGAACGTTACCTCAGGCCAAAAGCGATACGGTGAGGAAGATATGACAAGAAAAGTCGTCAAATTCATTAGATTTCTCTGGAGTATGAATCGATGTACTCCACAGACGATAACTGAAGTTTCTCTCTGAAAGGAGAACGATAGATCAGAGGACGGTTGAGAGACTCGAAGTAGACCTTTCAATGGCGGTATCCACTTTAGTGAAATCTGCATCCCGGCAAGCGAGGAGCATCTATAAACGTCAGCAAATTCGATCGAGGGTCATCGACAAATTCATCAACTCGGAGGAGTACTACATTTTTCTGAAGCATGGATGCAGTCGCCATGGCAAGAGGAAGGTAAATTCACGGCCCAAAATGAAATTCTCAAAGAATGATACAGAACTGCCAGTTGCGAACATAGGAAAAATATTTTGCATGATTCTTGAAATAATGACCTCCTTCGTCGAGCTGCTTCATAGGTTCTACTTAAGATAGCTAATTTTCTTCCATACGTGACTCAAGAGTAGCATTAAATGCAAATAAATCTCTTCTGGAAACAGAAAGCTTTGCGCAGATGCACCTTTTTTTATTATTTTTATTTTATTACCTGTGGAAATAATATATATAGTATATTATATATTCTAAAAAATATATTCATCTCATAAATATTTTAAGTTCATTAAAAGAATTGAAAAAATCTTACACCTAATATTTAGATATAATTAAAATATTTAAGATAAATAATATATCAAATTGTGATAGTGTGCATAGTGTTTGTATTTGAAGCTTGTGACAATCAAGATTACACATGCAAAAAATATCAAATCTATTTTATTATCTTTGATACAAAACGAGAATTTCAAAGTTCATATTTTGAAATTTACGAAAAAAGAACTCGTTTGTATCTTCAATGATGTTAAAAAGAAGTGTTTAAAATTAAATAAATGAAACGTTTTCAGAAGAATATCTAATAAAGAGTCACAATATGATATAAAAGTATTTAGACAATATCTTCTGATAGACATTCTTCTGAAATAGATACAAAAAATTTATTCCTATTCAAAAATTCAAAATACTACAATGAATAACTGTACATATTCTATATGCAATGATTAAAACAAAGATTTTTTCCTCATAAATGTGTAGGAAAGAGATTTGTTTAGTGTTTATCTGTTCAGTGAAAAGTTGAAAATCGATTTACTGAATGATAAAAAAACTCTAACTACTTTGATAAACTCTAGAACTTTACTATTTCTGTGATTATAATTATGGATGTATGGCATACAAGAAACTCTTAAAAATTGCAAGTCATTTAACAGTAAACTTCAATGTGATAATATAGCTACATAAAGTTACTTTTCTACGGAAGAATGATTCATTGTTATATGTATGTATAATTTAGTTATATATATATATATATATATATATTATACAAAAGTGAATGAAGATGATTGCAATGATGATCAAACTTATGGGAATGTAGTGAGGTAATATTGTCTTTCTAAAATCAATACTTTGAATTCTTGACTAACTTAATCTTGATAAAATTTATTGTCAATTTTTTATCTATGTTTTTTTAAATATGGCTTTTAATAGATTTTTAAATGAATTCTTTTCGGAATTAAAAATTGTTAGATGGAAAGATCATTTACTTTCTGACCCAGCTGCCAGCTGGCGGAAACGGTAAACAACCCCAAGGACGCTTTCAACTGCGACGATCGGGGACATAAATTCAAGTTTAATTCAATGATCAACAGTTTACAATTTGATTTAAAAGTTTTAAACCAACCTTCCAGTTATATTTCAACCATTTAAATTTCATAATTTTGGGATATATTTTGTGTGGAGCAAGTATTTTGCCAACTTCGATGCTCATTTGGTCATAATCGTGGTGACCAAACGACTGGATTTTGTACAAGTTGTGGATTTTGTACAACAATATAATTTATATTATCATTCATGATGATTTGAGGACTTGGAGACATGCAGAATATGACCACGAGAAAACTCAGAAAAGGATTTGGCAACAATTGTACTACAACAAGTTCGCTCATATAGACTCCAACTTTCTGAGGTCTGGTCATTGTGAGCGAGAACACCATACAGCATCAAAACCGCGATGTCCAGAAACCACCAAATTCAATAACACCGCGAAGCGGTTTTTGTGAATATTGAATCTTTATAGGGGGTGTAGCTTCCATGGATGTTGATGGCAGTCGAGACAAACATTTCTGGCCGGTTTGGACGAACCGCTGTTCTTCATGTTCTCTTACCATCTGAATTACTGCACAAGATATCATAGATATGCCTCGAACCTCCTTCTCCTCCATCTCACCTGTCACCCAACAAATAGTTTTCCGCTATCAAGAGGATAAAAAATCCTGAAACAATGAAACCTCATGATAAAACAATAAATGTAGGAAGCAAAGCAATCACAACCTCCTAACATATTCCTTGTTCAAATTTGTTCATGCATACTTACCTGGGCGGGGCCTATCGTTGATCCGGAAGGGCGATGACCTAGGATGAGCTGGCCCATTGCACTTCGGCCCGGCAATTCCTAGCACTTCCCCAAGGGGAAAGTGCGCGTCATAATTTGTGGCAGAGGAGGGCTCGCGTTCGCGCGGCCCTCCACATCAAAAACAAATAGCAAGTTGGTGTCTATTAACGTCATCCCAACTTCCATCTTAATTTACCCTACACAATGAATCATCAAATTTCTTGACGACGATGGACCCCGAGGTCATGGGCTTCTGATTAATTGTACCGCTGAAACACCATATGATGGATTCCATTGAAGATGATGCCCAGCAAGTTCCATCAAGGTTGTACATCCCCGGCGTGGCCTCCGCTCTACTCGCCTCCTGCAATTCTTGCTATGTTTTGGTGACAGTGCTGTGTCTATTGAAAAACTTCAAAGTCGTATGAGAAGGAAAACAAGGCGCGAATGCACACACGAGGTCGCGTGTCTTTTTCAAAAATTACATGCTTCACGTGGCGAGGTTGAAATGCTTGTCCCGGTAGTATGGACAATCGGTAACGGAGATATTTAACACTGAATTTGCCACCAAGCTTCGAGTTTGCCACCACTCCTTTCGTCAGCCTAAAGACCCCTACTTGCCGCAGGAGAAGCTTTCTTTCTGGAGAATGAGTTGAAATGGGCTACCCGAGTCCGACTTTTGAAACTTCCATGAGGCGGGACGAGGTGATTCCGACGTGATTGAAGTAAGGAGTGGTTCGATTATTTCAAAATGACTCGAAACTAGTGTTCATCCGCATCCACTTTTCACAGTTTCTAGTCATACATCCCCATTACACCGAAATACTCGAAGCAAGTCAGGGATACAGTTTATTCGTCATCATCGAGAAATGTCACCCTCACTCCTGTCCATGCAAGAAAAGAGGGCAGATCACGACATACATACATACCAAGTCCGAAGTGGATTCCAGAGGTTTCATCGATACCGGTCAAGACGAGATGATACATGACATCGAAGGGCAGCATTTCCATGTGTCCACACAAGATTTTTCAGCACTCTTGAAATCTCACAAAAGAGAATTCTCCAAAATTCATCATACCAGCGTCACTTATGGAGGTGCGGGGTATCGATCCCCGTGCCTATCGCATGCAAAGCGATCGCTCTACCATGTGAGCTACACCCCCGATATACACCATCTGGAAAGTATATTAAATATATTTATTTTCAAAGTTTTTCACGCTCCAGTATATAAAAGTAAAATATATGCTATCTATAAGATCTGAAACATTGTAGACATATTTCAAAATGACTTTCTGGACTTTATTTTAAGAAGTTTTATATTATTCGAATGATCACAAGGATTATAGCTCCTCACACTCAGCTGAACACTAACGGAGATCGCCGGTTGATGCCCTCGTGTCATTTGTGTGCTCCCTGGGTGTAAGTTCATAAACCGGAGACAGAAGAAATGATGGACAGAGTGGCCAATATTTGGCAACAAAATGTCCCACCACAAATTCAAACGTACAAATATTTTAGCTACTTCGGACTTCTGTGGATGCTTGGAACGCATTACATGCCACACATGCGGGTAGTTTCATACCATGTTTGTGCGTTGAATTTACGTTAGAATATATGAAATAGGAATAGATACTGGATATTCTCAAATGCATGAGGATTATAATCATTTTGATACTTTTGATGAGCTCAAACGTGTCAAAATATTTGTAACCTTTTAGTCAAAACAGAAGTTTTCATCAGCTTGGTTTCATATCTTTAAGTTCCCAATTGTTAAGAGATACTTTGCAATTGGCACCATCTATACATTCACTGCAAATATACTCCATAAGACATAAATCCATGAAAATTGCTAAATTAACTTCAACAAGTCTGTTTGAAAAGTATAATAAACACATCTTTAAGAAGTCATTTCGTTATAATAATTTAATTTATAATAAATATTTAGATAGAACAAATCCAGAAACTAAAATATAAGCTCAGTAAAAATAATTAAATTCCGTTTTTTATTTTTTATAATAAAATAAATATATTTTTCAAAAGATTTATTTTTTAAGTAATCTAAGTATAATCAATACTATCCTTATTAAAAAATATCCGAAATATTTATGTATTTATTTATTCATATTTCAATCTATTGAAAAATATTTAATCAAAAATATAATATTCTTTAGAATAAATTTAATAATCCAAAAAAAAATCAAACCGCTTTGCAAACAAAAAATCATTTTAAGAAAGACATCTACATTCTTAGCAAGGATACTATTTTATTATTATTTTTAAATTTATCTCATACATTTTTTAATATATAAAAAAATATGATGTAACTATAGATATTGTACAAAATTTATGCTAAAAAGTAAATTCAAAAGACTCATAATTCGTGAATATTTGTTTCAAAGTTTTGATTTGAAGTCATATCTTTGCAAACATTACTTTAGCAGACTGTTCTAACAATCTACGTCTAGTTTTTTATCATCTCAATGAATTTAATTGAATTTTTTTTCCATGAAAAATATATTACAAAAAGTTTAAATCAATATCATGTGTTTTACATATATGATAAGTTTTTGTCTCCACAAAAGTACATATGTAAACTTCAATTTTTATTACTTTGTGAGTATTCAATATTTCATTGTAAATTTATTCCTTCATTGATTCAAAACAAATTACTCTAAAAGTAAATTTCAAATAGTTCCTGATTTATGAATACATAAAAGTATAGACTGATTAATGATAAAAAATATTGTGTTTATGTTTAGAAACAAAAGGAACATTATTTTTAATTTTCAAATAATGATAAGTTTTTCCGAATTTATTCTTAGTATTTTCGAATTTATTTTTTCGAATTTATTCTAATGCAAATTCAAATCCAACATCATCTATCACAAAATCAGGAATTATATTTTTAAATTAATTTAATCTATTATACATGTAATAAATTCACAACCTTTAGACCACACCGATAAAAGTGACTTACTGTATTTTATTATTATGTGATTCTATTGCTATCAAAATAGACTAATCAGCAATTGTGAACACAAAGCTCATGTTTTTACAATCTTTTAGGAAA